TATGAGAGAGCAGGATGGTGGTGATGTATGGAATCCGGAATGAGGCAACTGGGACACCTGGGTGGCTCAGTCCATTAGGTGTCTGCCTTTTCGGCTCAGGTTCTGATCCCAGAGTCCTAAGATCGAGCCCCGAGTTGGGCTCCTTGCTCCATGGGGAGCCTGCTTCTTCTCTTCCCCTGCTGCTCCCCCTGCTTGTACTTTCTCTCGCTCTGTCAAATAAATAAAATCTTAAAAAAAAAAAGAGTGAGGCAACTGGTTGGTAGAAGCAGAAGAAATCTTAGCAGAGACATGGAGTAGATGTGTCTCAGTAGTACTTCAGCATCAGATGAGGGGGAAGGAAGCAACACACATCTGCTGCTGAGATTAATCAAGCGGCTTTCTAGTTTCCAAACTGCATTCTAGGCTCTGTGAAGCCAAGCTTTTCCTGTATTCCCACAGTGCTCGGCCTTCTGGCTGAAATTCCTTAGTCTCTTATTTTTACAAAGCCCTACTGCTTGAGGTAGCTACAAGAATCTAACTAGTACACCATGTAAAGGAGTTTGGAATTTAATCTGGAAACATTAGAAAATCATAAAAGGGCTTCAGATTTCCATTTTAGAAAGAGGACTCTGGGACTAGAGTGGAAATAAATTAAAAATGGACTAGAGTTAGGGATTGTACATTGGAAACCAGTGAGGGGCGCCCAGGTGGCTCAGTTGGTTAAGCGTCCCACTCTTGGTTTTGACTCAGGTTATGATCTTAGGGTTGTGAGACTGAGCCCTGATTTGGGCTTTGCACCCAGGTGAGATTCTACTTGAGATTCTTTCCCCCTTCCTCTCCTTCCCCACTCTGCCCCTCCCCCACTCGCACGCACAAGTGCTCTCTTTCTCTCTCTAAAAAAATGAATAAAATATTTAAACCGGTGAGAGATGATGATTGCCTGAGAATGGAGAAAGTGGATAAATTGAAAGTTACAAAGGCGGATGAACAAACAGAATTTGATTCAGCTTAGATGCAGGAGATGAGGGAGCGGAAAGAGTCAAGTTTGATTCTTAGTTTCCTGATCTGGGAAACCAGATAGGAACTCGATGGATAGTGGCAACCAATTTCTTTCACTGAGAAAGATAATGTATGAAGAGGACCAACTCCTTTCTGGGGAGGAATGTAGGTGCAAATGAGACTTCCAGGCAAGAATGTCTAATAAGCAGTGGGATATTCATGTCTGGATCTCACACTCTGGAGTTACAGGTTTGTGTATAAGGGCTTGATATCATGATTTTCAGAGATATTCCAGTAAATTTCTTGTTTTATTCCCATAGCACTAAATTCAGGAATGTACTTGGGCATAAGACTAGAGAAGCTAAGAATAAAGGGTTATTTCATGTCTGAATATTCTTTGTAGTGTACCTTAGCTATGATGTTGTATATTACATAACTCTTGAGGTTGATTGATGAGCTACCTTGAGATTGATGAATTACCTTGCCCAAGTGAGATGGTCTCTAGAGAACACTGTGCATAGGAACAGTCTAGCTTTACATATATAAGGGTAGGACCAGAAAGGGAAGTGAAGTTTCTAGAAGGTCTGATGTTATGTATTCCAGAAAGTCTGAATATTTGGAAGGTTTAGAAGCTTGCATTTTAATCTCTTAGCTGATATTGCAACCACATTCCTGTTGTAGTATTCCTGTTAATCTGGACATTCTATTGCTATTTGTCAATATGCAAGTTATACAGGGTATTATCAATAGGTTGGTAGTAATTGAAACCAACAGTGTGCATACTAAGATCACTCCATGAGAATAAATTAAGAAGAAAAGAGAACAAAAAATACAATTTGGGGAAATACTAATCTCAAAGGAGTAGGTAGAAGAGAGAGAAGTCCAAGAGGAGAGTAAGTGACTGATGATGAAATCTGAGGGATTGAACAATTAGAAAGATAAATTGAGTCATATTTGGATTTCACCATTAACTGAGACAGATATTTCAGAATGACATTAGACAAGTTTTCTTGTTACACATGAATACATGCTTATTATTTATTTAAAATACATTTTCTAAAAGATTTACAACGAAGGCTCAGAAAAAGACCCGGGTTTCCTAGTTTTCACTAGAATGTTAAAACTTGTTGATAATTAAGTCTATTTAGAATTTAATAAAAGATAGTGTGAGTAATGATCACTGAAGAGCTACCTATTTTATATATATATAAAGATATATATAAATATATATATAAATATAAAAGATTATCTATCTATCTATCTATCTATCTATAAAAGATTGACTTACTAGGTGGCTCCATGGCTCAATGGATAGCTCATTGGACTTACAAAACATTGGCTTACTACTTAATGTGTGCGAGGCGTTGTGCACTACCTGCAACATCTCATTTATACATTTATACATTAGAAATATCACATGAGGAAGGCACTTGGATTTCCTTCTTTTAAAAATATGGAAACTGGGGCACCTGGCTGGCTCAGTCAGTCAAGTGTCAGACTCTTGATTTCAGCTCAGGTCATGATCTCAGGGTTGTGAGATCGAGAGCCACGTTGTCAGGCTGAGCAAGGCAGTCTGCTTGAGATTCTCTCTCTCCTTTTCCCTCTGCTTCTCCCCCCCTACTTTCTTTCTCTCTCTTTCTTTTTCTCTCTCAAATAAATAAATCTTTAAAAAAAAATAAAGATGTGGAAACTGAAGATTAAAGAAATTCATTTTCTAGAGTCACCCAAGTAGTAATTAACAGGGCTGACATTCAAATTTAAAGGTTTTGACTTCAGAGCCTGAAGTCTAACTACTACCTGATAAGACTATGAAAGCGTACTCAAGGTAATAAAAGGTTAAATTTAGCAGGCATTTATTAATGTAATTTTCAATGAAGACAGATTATGTAGCTACAGAAGACCATTTCACACTTATACCAACATTTCTAGGTATACCACAAAATTTTGAAAGTACTTCCTGAGAGACTTGGGTACATTAATATGTATTTGAATAATTTGTTTTTGCTACTAAAAGAGAAATGATTCTGTTTTTCAGAATGCTAACTTCTGTGTTTAGCTGATTTCTTAACTTGTAGAATCAAAAATAATTTTTACCCCTGCTAACTTTGGTTTTGGCATAAAGCCACGCACTGTTTCTGTGGCAGTACAATTTCCCTGGGCATATGTATATAGAAAACTATTTGTTTTTGTTTTTTAAAAAGCAATTTACAGAATGCTAGTTATAGATAATTGCGCACCTTAAGAAAATTTTGGCTTTTCAAATCACTATCAGTATTATTTTTAATTAATGAATTCCAATTGCATTCTCTCAACTATACATAACAGAGATATAAAGGACTCTAAGAATGATGATTTTGAATCTATCATGCCAAAATTACTACTAATAAAAAAATTAAATTTCAAAAGAAAAATTGGTCACATAGGGAAAAGCACTGGGTGGAAGCTTGATGGTATATTATGAGCCAACTATTAGAGGATCATTTTTTTTTGAGGTGGGTGGGGGGAAGGGATAATTGGGTGACAGGCATTAAGGAGGGCACTTGACATAATGAGCACTGGGTGTTATATGCAAATGGTGAATCACTAAATTCTACCCCTGAAACTAATAATACAGTATATGTTAACTAAATTGAATTTAAATAATTAAAAAAAAGAGCATCATTTTTAAAAGTTCCCTACGACCTCAAGAATAATGTCTGCCACATATTCTACCTAAGCTTTTTTTTCCCCTCTATATTCACAGCTCTTAATACATAAAGCTTATACTATAGGAGCGGTCAAACATCCCAAAGATGTCACAAATGATCCAAACAACTGTTTGGCACAAATGATCCAAACTACTGTTCTGAGAGCTCATTAACATCACCTGCTACCTTCATCCATCTTTGCTTTACTTCTTGTCAAATGGAAAAAAAATTTAGTTTACAAAGTACTTGTTGTGCAAGGTCTTATTTCACAGCCAAACCTTGTTGCCCACTGACAATCTCACAGTCCACTGTCCTCCATCCTGCAAAGATGTCATCAGCTCAGTTGTCTGGAGGTGTTCATTTCTTCATCTCCTACCTCTACCCTGGTTCAGGCTTTCCCTCTACCTTTCTCTGCTTCCTACTCAGTAGCTGCAAGATGTCTTGGGCAAAAGCACACTGACTGGGTCTTCGAGAACCACAGATGATTTTTCTGTTTACTTTTGCTTCATATATAATTGCCTCCTAATGAAGGCTTTTATAGCGGTTTCTTATTTGAGCATCAAAACTGTTTTTAGTAGGGTATTCATTCATTCAAATATTTACTGATCATCTGCAATGTGCCAAACACTGTTCTAAGTGCTGGAGATACATGAGGGAACAAAACAGAGCTTAAAAAAAAAAAAATATCCCAATGTTTCTGAAACTCATTTTAGCGGGAAGACTTGCGGTAAAAGGGGCGGGGCAGATCGCGCAGCGCCTGGCAGGTAAAAGGAGGAATTCTGACTTTTACTTTGGGCGAAATGGAAAGACAGTGGAGGGTTTGGTACAAACAAAATTTTACAGATCAGGGAAATAAACGACTACACTGCAGTAAGCACCCGTATACTTCGTACAACCTGTGGAGGAACTGCAATTTAGGTACTTAGGAGGGAAAAAATTAACAGGAGGTAGGCATTGACTTGGGGCTATTAGCCCAGAGATTCGAGGGGGCAGAAATGAAGAGGGACAAGACAGATGAAGATTAAGCCAAAAGGAAGCAAATTGTTTACACCGAAATACAATTTATTTCAAACATACGGCAAGAGATAGGCCAAGAGATACGTGGCTCCGTTCAGACAGCAGTCACCCTAAAAACAAAAGCAAATTTAGGTTAGGCAAACAGTGGCCCAAGTAGAGCTGCGGACAGCGGCTCGTCCCGGAACCGGGCATGCCCCGAAGGTGACCACGCCCTCGGCCCCGCCCCTCCTGCGGCTCACCGCCCCAGTTGGCCACGGCGGGGGCGGTGGCCCCGGTGCCCGGAAGTGCGGCTGACGTGTCCCGGCCGCGCTCGGAATTGTGGGCGACTCGGCTAATGGCGTCGGCGAGTCTGGAGGGCTTGGGGAAACAGCGCTGAAGCTTTTTGCCAGGTTGGCTGGTGACGAACTGTGTGGCCGGATCCCGCGGCAGCGGGAGGGACCTGCCCACCTTGTGGGCTCCTCGGCCAGAGCCGGCGGAGCCTAGCGGGGCGGGGCGACTGCGGGGGGCGCCTCGGATAGGAGCCGCGAGAGTTGCGAGAAGGCTGCGGGGGGCGCTCGGGTACGCTCCGGGTTCGCAGCCCAGGCCGGGCCGAGTCCCGCGGAGCCCAGGAGGCGGGCAGTGGAAGGGCCAGAGACGCCAGGAGGGAACTGCCTGTCGCCCCAAGGAGCTAACAGTGCTGGAGTTCGTTTGCGCCGCTCAGATACTGGATTTTAGTTTGGTGGATCATGTCCAGCACCAACAGCCCCGAGGCGGTGAAGAAGCTGCTGGAGAATATGCAGAGCGATTTACGGGCCTTGTCCCTGGAATGCAAAAAGAAATTCCCACCTGTCAAAGAGGTAAGCTTTGGGCAATGTCGGGAGAAGGCACGGTGAGCATGTCTGGTCCTATTAGACCCAGTCCTTCACTTCCAAACTCCTGTCCTATCTAATTTTCATTTGGCCCTCACCTTTGCAGATTTACGAGTCGGTGGGTTGTACCATAAGCGCGTTTTATAGTTTCTTTTGAAGACGACTGGGGCGCTTTGATTTTGTCTACTCCTGTCCTCAGCATTTAGGAATGAACTTCGCGGAGTGAGCCGATTCAGCTAATTCAGCTGGATGTATCTTATCCTCGCCTTTTCTGGCCTTTTTCAGACTTGAAGCTAGCCAAGCCAGAATTGAAAAACACGTTTGTTGCTTCTAAAAACTATTATCCATCGTTGTGGTAAAATCTCTGCTCCTCACGTTTATAGTATGTATCACTCAGTGGGAAGTAGTTTTCTTCTTGTCTTGTGTCATGAAGCTTAACTCTATGTCAGTACTATGAAGTGTTAGTAAATTATGCAGTCACCTAATTTATGACAAATATTGAGGACCCACAATAATCATGTTAAGCCTTGTTATCAGCAATAATGTAATGGGACGTTTGGGTTTAGAATTAAATTCAATACACCTTGGAATACATCAATACATATTAACCTCTTCAAGCTTCAGCTTTCTTTCATATGTAAATAGGGCTAAAGGGTGGATTTATTAGATTATGACGGGAAATTGTCAGAGCAAAAAGGGTATTAAAGAGGCTTCAATTAATAATATATATAAATTCTCTAAATATTTCCTAAGTTGAAATTTTTAGTCACATTGACCTTTTAAGATGTCATTTTATTTTTCTTACGCTTTTAAAAATAGCATCTCATTTTCCTTTCTCATACCTGAAATAAGAGATTTCAGTGGTATTTTTGTAAAAGCAATTATTTTTATTCCTATTTAATGTAGTTTGGTGTACCAGCAATTTCATTTACTATTTAGGGTTCACCAAAAGTTCACTAAGGAATTTTGGAATGTTTTCGTGTTTATTTAAATGTTTTGCCTTTATTATTACAAAGATCTTACAATTAAAACTTACCCAATAAAGTTTGGATTTTAGGCTTCCAAGGAACCTTAACTTTTCTGTAAGTGCTTTTGGTCTCATCAGTCTTCAACAAACTCCATCTAGTGTTTCTTTAATAAAGTAAGCAAATATTACCCAATAGTAGAAACCTGATGTGCCACCCTTGGAAAGAGGACTATCATAATATGTTTTATTTCAGATACTCAATAGCTTGTGATACAGATTTTCATTATTTTCTCTATATCCTGTTGAAAGTTTTAATAAGTAATTCTAAAGAATTAAGCATTTTTAAAGAATTTTAAAGAAGCAGGCTGTTCCAATTTTAAGAGAAATGCTCGTTTATAAAATGTCAAATCCATTCTTTAATTTTAGCAATAATTTATAGAACTGACTGTTCCCAGCTCTTATAATTTATATAGACAGGGATTTCTCTATATTACACATAAAGGCCTTTGTGGGCTTGCTTGAGAATTTAATTGCCATTTATTACTTTATTTCTTTTGGAAAATGCATTCAGAATTCCAAACAGGTAACTTACAAAGTTTTTTTTTTTTTTAAGGTTTTATTTATTTATTTGATAGAGAGGGAGAGAGATTGAGAGCACAAGCAGGGGGAGCCGCAGGCAGAGCAGGCAGAGGGAGAAGCAGGCTTCCCGCTGAGCAGGGAGCCCGATGCGGGACTCGATCACAGGACCCTGGGATCATGACCTGAGCCAAAGGCAGACGCTTAGCCGACTGAGCCACCCAGGCGTCCCATGACTTGTTCTAGAACTCAATCCATCTTATCTAGGAACGTTCAATAAACCTCATTAGCTTTTTTACTTGAACATAGGCCAAAGAGATACTTAGTGATTACACCTACTCTCTGAGGTAATGACAAAAATAATTCTTGGCGTGATAATCTCTGATACATAATTTCCTATATAATACCTACTCCACAAGAATTTGTTGAATGTAAGAACTTTGACTCCTTAACCAGTAGCACTTCTAATATACTTATGGGCCCACTTTAGTTATTGGAAAATGACCATTACTGTGTCACAAGTTTAAAACAAGAATGAATAATTAGTCTAAGAATGATGATTCTTTAGGAGGGACCCTTGATTTTCAAGAAATATTTTGGTTGAATTAAATTTTTCCTGGTAAATTAATAGCAGTGCCAAATTTTGGCTTTTGTTCTTTAAGGAACTGGTATGTTTTTGTTTTATTTATTTTGGGGATGGGGAGAGGGTGGTGCTTGGTATACCTTAAGGCAAAGCCTTTCTCAGTGTAAGAACCTTTTCCATCTGTGTACTGGTTTGCTAGTTAACACTCTCTCAGTATCTTCACAGTTATTACTTGAAAAATACTTATTCTGAACTACTTACAAAGGTACTCAAGAACTCAAAGCAATACAGTGCTTTGGAAGGGATGTCTCCTTCCCCAATACCTTTTATTTATTTTTTTATTTTTTATAGTTTTTAAATTTTTTTAAAGATTTTATTTATTTATTTGAGAGAGAGAGAATGAGAGATAGAGAGCACGAGAGGGAGGAGGGTCAGAGGGAGAAGCAGACTCCCTGCTGAGCAGGGAGCCCGATGTGGGACTTGATCCCGGGACTCCAGGATCATGACCTGAGCCGAAGGCAGTTGCTTAACCAACTGAGCCACCCAGGCACCCCTCCCCAATACCTTTTAAACAAGGTAGAATGAAGTGATACCTTTTATATTTAGTCTTTAAGTTTCTAGTAATTTCTACTTTTTTGATCATGGTGCTTATTACAGAACAAAAGAGTATTGGTAAAGGATAGTGCCTTATTTATTGCTGTTTACTTCTTATCTTTTGGATTTTCTACATGGCTTTCTCCATCTTAATTGTTTCCATTTATAAATGTTCCTTTGCATATTAAATTGTTTTAATAGTGGCTATAATTTCATTGTCATTTTATAATAAAAGTAGTAATTCAATAACAGCAATACATTCCTTCTCCTTGTATTAGTGCTTATTTTTACAGCAGTGTAACTTTTTAGCACAAGTGTGCTAGCTAATTTGTTCTGGAATATTTGTATGAAAAATGTTTTCTTTGCTTTAAAAATTAAAGCTTTGCAAAATCATTTCTGTATAATTGAAATTCAGTGCCTTCAGAGGCAGTAATCTCTGAAGCTTTATGTTTATGTATTTAATGAATAAAACATTTAGGTCATTTTCTGTTTGCAGGCATTACTCTGGAAACAAATGAGGGGGATCTAACTGAGATTGGAAGTAAGCTCAGAGAGAATTTGTAATTCTTGAATTGAGCCTTAATAGGATGAGTAGAAGCTAGCCAACAGAAGAAGGGGAGGGGGTCATACCAGGCAGAGGAAATAGCATATGTTTATATACCATGTCAAATAAATTTCATGCTGGAGGTTATTGGGAGCCATTAAAGTTTTTTAAGAGAGCAAATAATATAAATTCATATTTTGTAACATTTTCTTTTTTTTTTTTTTAAGAGTTTATTTATTTGAGAGAGAGGGAGAGAGAGAGCACAAGCAGGTAGAGTCGGAGAAGCAGGCTCCCCGCTGAGCAGGGAGCCTGACAGTGGGGCTTGATCCCAGGGCCCCGGGACCATGACTTGACTGAGCCACCCAGGCACCCCTTAGTAACATTTTCATAACAGTATTGGTGGGAAGAATTAGAGGGGACTGAGATTGAGGCAAAGAGAGCAAATTTAAAAAATGATGATTGCCTGCATGAAGGTAGCAGTAGAGGAAGACAGGAGGTTGCTTGCATTGTGGTGGGCATGTGTGAAAGAGAGAGCATGGATTGAAAAGAGACTTAACAGGTAAAATTACCAGGGCATGGTGACCTTCTATATAACATAGAGAGAGAAATTTATGATGTCTCCTAGGTTCTGGCTTGGGAAACTGGATAGATCACTAAGAGAAGGAATATAAGAGGAGGCAATGTTTTTGGGTAAAGTGAATAGTCCTGAATATAATAAGGTTAAGATTTATGTGTGGAACTGACCAGTAGGAGTTTGAAAATGATGGTTTGGTTCTTAAGGGGGAGGTCTAGAATTTCAGATTTAGAAGTATCAGTTTATACATGATAGTAGAAACCATAGGACTGGATAAAATGAGTCTGGAAGGGTGTATAGAATGAGAATATCAGGACCAAAGAAGGAACTTTGGGAAACAACAGCAATAAAGGGAAAGAGGTAGCTGGCCAACTAAGGTTAAGGATATGGGGGAGAAAGGGAATACTTGTAGAGCAGGGTCCCTGAGAAAGCTGGAGTTTCGAGGGCATAAGTGAATGAACTCACTTTAAACCTGAGAAGGAACATATTTTCCTCTGATAGAGGAAGGGAAAAAGAAAAAATGAATTTGAATGTGATAAATTTGAATGAGGGACATTGTGGAGAGATAGGAAGTTGTAGACAGTTTGGCCTGTGACCTCTATTCCTGGTAAGGTAGGAAACAAGCTTATTGCTAGGAGTAATTAGTAATGAAAGGAGTGATGGGTAGAAAGTTTGAGGGGAGCAGTGGATCACTTTGGAGAAGTGGAGGAGAAATTGACTTGGGACACTTAAGAGTCTTGGCAGGAAAAGTGGTTGAAATGATGATAGATGGTGAGATCTGTGTTGTATTACTAAAGAAGGAAATCCAACAAAACTTTGATTGGAAGAAGGTGGAAGGGTTAAGGTACTAGCAGCACCAATTTAATCAAAGAGCAGTAGAGTTGAGGAGTGGGAGAGCTAGAAGGATAGGGATTGAGACAGTAAGGGGATATTGGATTTCCGATTGCCAAATTAGGCTGCCCTAGAGGATGATGAAGTCCGGGGAATGGGTGGTAGAAGAGGAAGGGAATGAAGATCATTTGAGTTGAGGTGGTCAGAATTAGGGTTTTGAATGGATTTTTTTCTCTCCTTTTTAATGAAGTGGAATCAGTAAGGGTGTAAGTAATAAAAAAGTGCAAGTAGTCTTCCCATGCCATGTCCTTTGTCTCCT